GGAGATGGGGCCGTTCCCTCGGTGCTGCGCAGATGTGCTGCTGCTCCTAAAGAGTTGTTGTTGTTGTTGTTATCAGCTAAATATTTTTTTATTATTGTTTTCCTCCCCGCGGAGGAAGAGCCACGCGGAGAATTTGTTGGTAAATAAATCTGATAGCACACAGGAATCACAAGTTGTGTAAACCTCGAGAAATAGATGCACATGCCCGAGGAGATTTATATGGGCTCTGTGCTGCAGCCTCCTAGGAAACTCATTAGAATGAATGATAAAAATCCTGGGAAATGGTCATTTAAAGCCAAAAGCCTTCAGCTTTCCCTCCTGTATCCGATCCATCCTGTTACCGCGGGATCTTTGCCTTAAAAACACGTAGATGCTGCTCACCAGGGAAAGTTTGGTTCCCATCCTTCCAGCTGCATTACTTGGCTCTCCTGGAAGTACCAAACCAAATCAGCCGGAGGAGTCTTTGTAGGAGCACTGCTGCGTCCGTGTGCGTGTTTCCGAGGTTTCCAGGGTGCAATCCAAGCTCAAAATTCACAGGTGAAAAGAAGAGAGCAATGAAATTGGGAAATAAGTTTCCTGCAGCTCAGAAAGCGCACTTCAAGCCTTCCCTGGCTGAAAACTTGGAGCATACACCTTCCTCCACTGATTCGTGTCCCACACAAACACAGCTAAAATAAATGATCCACTATCTGCTTCGGATCTATTTCTAATCTGAACCAGAAAACCTTTGTTGTTGCTTTTATTGGTTTAGCCAGTACCTTCCCCACATAACATAATCCTCTGCTGAAACGAAGGAAACCGACCTGGGGGGGGGAAAAAAAAAAAAAAAAAAGAAAAAATCCAAACAAAGAGGGAAGTCTTCAATTTAGATCTGAAACAAGAAAGGCTATCAGTCAACCTCCTTCCTCTCGCTGGAGCATTCCAGATGCAAGGTATTTAGAGAATGCAAACAGCAGAGGCTGAATCATTGATCTGCTGGGGGGCAACAGAGCGGCCCCCCCCCCGTGCAGGAGCTGGGGGGAGAGGGCTGCCCCCCCAAACCCAGCCTGCCCCTGCCCAGGCTGAGCCAGGGCAAAACCAGCTCCGCAAAATGCCCCCCCGGGGAACCAGCCCCCCCCGGCTGATCCAAGCGGTCCCAGCCCAGAGGCGCAGGGGGATTCCTGGAGCCAGGGAAGGGCTGAGCCCCAGCCTGCACCCAGGCACCGCCACTGCTCAAAGCCTCTCTGGCCTTTTGCCTCCCCCAGGAGTTCCTTAAATTGGGATTTAGTTTTAAAAATCACTCTGAGGAGTTGATTTTATTTTTTCTTCATGTGGCTTTACAAACATTTTCAAATTTTACTGCCCCACTCTCCCATCAACGTAAAGCTGCTCCTGATTTCATACATAAACCCTGATTTGGGCAAAAGTTGGGTTGGTTTGTTTTGGTTTGGTTTTTTTACAGATTTAAATCCTTGAGTCAGGCAGAAATGGTCTTAATGAGTTTTTACAATTTATCTACATATTCTGATAATAATTGTTGCCACTTAGGAGTTTGGGGAAATTTCTTAAGGGAGAAGGTTGAAGCTTGGTGCTAAATAATGCGGCTAAAATTTCACTGAAATGGGGGTTTGATGCGAAAGGGTGTAATTACTGCAGTCTGCTCAAGTGGTGTTGATCTGAGGCAGAAAATATTTAAAATAGAAATATTTTTTATGACAGATTAGCAGTAAACAAGAACAGATTATATTCTGTTATTTTTCTGCCAGTTATCATTTGAATCTTTCTTTAATTTGTTTTTTTTTTGATTTTTTTTTTTTTTAATCTCTGGTGCTATCACTAGTATTTAATTTGGACAACATTAAAGATGCACTTAGAAACCTCAGAAGCTTTGAAAAAAATCTTCACTTTTGAAAGTTTGAAAACATGCATTAATAACTATCTAATAAATATGGGCTGAAAGTTTTCAGTAAAATATACAGGTCAAAGAAAAAAAAATAATAATTTTGTTTGCATGGAATCTGTTTCAATCAAGTCTCAACTAGCAGAAATAATCTGAATATGGAGCAAGCCTGTCCTTAAAATATAGGTGAGAATTCAACAGAATAAGAAGAGTGAGGGTTACAGTTGGGAAATATTTCCTTTTACTTAAGTGGAATCCCAGTTTAAACCACCTTTTGTTCAGTTTTTATTATGTGGAAAATATTCATGACTGGAAAAAGCAGCTCATATCTAAGAAGATCCAGTTGATTAAAGCTCGTGTTAATAAATTTGTTAAGAATCAAACTTGCTATGAAATGAATAGTTAGCTTTAAAACCAAATTAAGGTTCAGAGCAGATTATGAAGAACCCCCTGGTTCTCTCTGCGTTTGAAACACCCTCTTGGCATTGAACTGATGTTTTGTTCACGCTGAGGAGCAGAGGAGCATCCCCAGCCCCGAGGAAGGGGCTGAGCGCTGGGAAATGCCCCTCTGCAGGCTGGGGGGGCCGGAGCAGCAGCGCTGAAGGGCCAGATGGGTAAACCTGCAACTTGCTCAAAGAGCTGGCTGTTCCCTGAACGTTGTAGTGCTTCGGTTAAAAACAAAGCAAATGCTGTAATAAACTCTGCCTTCAAAATCAACTCACATCCTGAAAAATCCTTTAGTTCTGGTACTAAAAAGCTGGAGTCCCTTTAAAACAAACCCAACAGAAAACCACAACCAAACAACTATTTGCTTCTCGTCTACATCTGCTGCTTTGCAGTTTCTGGGCTCCCACCAAGGCAGGGTGCTCAGCTCCGCTCGGCGCTGGGGCTGCTCGCGCTTCCCAGGTTCTTCTGGAGCAAGAAAACCCGAATTCTCCGTTGGGATTCGCAAACGCACAGAGAATTGTTCAAATTGCAACCGACCAAAGCTGCTTCGCGCAGATTTGTTTGCCCCCTCTGCAATGGAAATGGTTAATTTTGGGGTTTCCAGTCATTTTCTTTGGGTAAGTGGTAAACTCTAAATCCGAGGAAAGGAAAACACTTATCAGAACGAGCCCTGAAATGTTGTTGTTCGGACAGTCCCTTTAACTTCCAAGTTTTTCCCCCAAATGAATATGCCACCACTTCTTTCTAGCAGACCTTTCTAACCTGTCGATTTAGTTTTTCTTCCTCAAAAAATCACCGCGAGCAGCTGGACAGAGAGCCGGAGCAGCCATTTCTCCTACGGATGGCTGGAGCGGTGGGGGGAAGTGTTGGTCTTGGTACAATGATAAACTAAACTAACGTAGCTGAGAAAGCATCGTGGGGGATGAATCCTGCCGTTGCTGAACTCCCCCTGACCTTATTTCAAGTAGGAGCTGCTCTTTTGAACCCCCCTCCAAACATTTGCAGCACTTATAAAGCACAGATTAGATGTTTTCCTTTCAGTAACCGTAGGTATTTGTATCAGATTTCCTCCAGTCAGAGATAAACGCATTTATATCAGATTTATGCTCCGCGAGTACAAATTTGGGGGCCCTATAATTTCGCGTCACCGTTTAAATCCCCCGAAGAACAGCGGGCTCTCCAGCGCTCGCTGCTTTTCATCCCTCCACTTTTTAAACTCCGTGAAGCGGGAGGCAAGGAGAGGCTCAGCCACTAACACCGGCGCGTTTATACCCAATTCTTCATACCCAAAACAAGTGCAAGCCGGGAGGCGGGAAGCTGCGCAGCAACACTTTCTGTTGCGGGTCACTTTAAAAAATATAGGTCATTTCACAATCGAAACCTTGACCCGTACCCCACCGCCTGTGCCGGGGCACCAGCACCGCTGGGCTGCCGGAAAGGTGATGTTAGGAGAGCAGCAAGGGCACGAGATGGAAATAATTTCACGTTACTGAACCGGCCACTTGGGCAGGCGCCTTGCCGTGGACCGGGTTGTCTAGTTTCTCGTCCTGCTGGTACATACTTGGGATTTAGCGGGACTGATTATTTCCCCTCCTTTCCTGCAGCTCCACCACTCTAATCTCCCCAGCTGGTTAGTTCTGGCTCTCTCTTTGCTCGGAGGGGGAATAAAGGATGGCTCTCGCATTACGATCACTGCCCCAAGGTAAAGCGCTAACAAGGTAAAGTGCAGGTAGTTCTAACGCTAAAGCGAGCCCGGATCATCTCGCCAGCCCCCGGAAGCCGTGACAGTGCTCACTGCGCAGAGGTAAAAGTTGCAGTTGTGAGATTTTTATATGCAGCTCGGTGGTCCAAATAAATCTGCCCCGCGCAGACGGTACAGGTGCCGCCGCAGGCTTTTTGTTACGGCAGTTACTGTCCTGTAGGTCCCTGCTCCTGGGGGGTACAACAAGAATTTAAGAAAAAAGAAACGAGCAGAGCATGCAACAAGGAGAAGTCCATAGTCTCCATGTTTTGTGGTTCCCATTTTTTAGGTGTTATGGGTTTTTTTCCCAAAAAAAAAAAAAGAACCGGCAATCGGGAAGGCTCTGAGACAGCCACCCCAGTGAGCTGAACTCGTCAAGAGCAACCGCTGGAGCCTTAAAAGGCCCTAAGGTTTGTTTGCAGTTAAAAGGGAGTATTGGCATTTAAAAACATATCTGGTATTTTGCCATTGTGAAAAAACCTGTTCCATTCCCGCAAGCACTGGACGGGGAGACAGGTCTGAACCCAGAGGAGAGGACGAAGCGGTGTTCCTCACTCCAGAGATGCCCTGGAAATCCACCCAGCCCGTCACTCGTGTGCCCAGCGCAGCTCAGCGTGAGCACGAGGGCTGGGGTGAGGAGCCGGGCAAACCCTCGCTGCCGTCAGCTGGAGCCAAAGCCGCTCTCTCCGTGGTTCGGTAAGGCTGAGCCTCCTGGCAGAGTCCTGGCACCCGGGATCGGTGTGCGGCTTCCCCTCCTGACAGCACCAGCCTTTGCTCTGCCAGCTACGGGAGATGCCGTAGGAGATACGGGAGATGCTGTGCCAGATACGGGAGATGCCGTAGGAGATACGGGAGATGCTGTGCCAGATACAGGAGATGCCGTAGGAGATACAGGAGGAGATGCCATAGGAGATACGGGAGATGCTGTGCCAGATACGGGAGATGCCGTAGGAGATACAGGAGATGCTGTGCCAGATACAGGAGATGCCGTAGGAGATACGGGAGGAGATGCCATAGGAGATACGGGAGATGCCGTAGCCGAGGCTGTGAGCGGGCAGCGGGACTCCAGGCAGCCCCGGGAAGGGAGGGGAGAGCCGGCCACGGGCTGTGGGGTCAGGGCTTGGGGGAAAGCAGCTCATATTTAGGACTTGTGCTCTGCAAAGGTGTACCAGGATGAGTGAGAATAAAGCGTGTAGGAGTTACCTGCTCCGCGAGACGTTGCTGGTGTTTTAGGGAGAGACGAGCTCCCAAGAAAAGCTTTGAGCCTCTGTGCCTCTGACAGCAGCAAAGCTGAGTTAAGAGCAGAATTGGTCCTGAATCAGGACCGGAGTTTGAATGATACTCCAGTGCCTGCGATTTCAGGGAGAGGATGGGATGAAAAACTTAAAAATCCCTCCTTCCTCTGTCCCTGGGATTTGAGGAGCAGAGCAAGTGCTAATACTGATCGATTGTAGCCAGATACAATTAGGAATCTCAGATCAGCATAATATCGCACACACAAACGGAGCAGAAAGCGTTATTTCCACCTGGGACGTGCAACACCTGAAATCTGTGTCTGGCAGAGCTGAGGTGCCCTGAGAAACAAAACAGCAACCGAGGAGCGCTGCTCCTGAGAGAAAGGGAAAATCTTACTCACCACATCCCCTGGGAACAGGAGGGAGGTGTGAACTGTGCCATTGAAGGTGAGATGCTAGAGCTAAACACTAAGAAATTTCTTGGGAAGTTTGCAGCATTTTCATTTCTGAAAACTTTTGGGAACGTATTTTGTCCATTCGGAGTGATTTAAGCAGAGCTGAGGCTCTCGGGGAGCAGGGGAAGGAATGGATGACCTCTTAAGGTCACTTCAAGCCCTATTTTCCATGATTACAGGGACATCTAATACTTGAAACTCTTTGTAATCAAAGTTGCCCTTGAGATGTTTCGGTGTCTCAAAGCAGAGCAGAAGGACCGTTTCAGTAACGCAGCTGTGATCTTCCCAACACATTCCCGAATTCCTGAAACACCAACTCCTCGAGTCAGGTCTGCTGCGGAGAAGAGCAGAGCTCGCTCGCTAAGCGCTGCCTGGCAGGGCAGGACGAAGCAGGGCAGCCCCAGCTCTCCTATTTAATTTGCAGCGAGACAAACGTCGCGGCTGGGTGAAACTTAAGCTAAAGCGTCCTCTTGTCCCAAGCTGGGACCCAACCAAAGCTTGTGAAACGACTTGCGTTATCAGAGAAGGCAGCAGAGGACAGATAACGCTACGAGGGTAGCGCTGCTCTGGCTGCGATGGGCTGAAGCTGAAGAAGAGCGAGGTTTGCGTCGTGGATCAGCCCCTCCGTTACGCTGGAGAAAGCGGATGTGGGTACGTGGCCCTTCGCTCTGCACTTCCCAGACCTGAGCCGGCATGGAGAGGTTCAGCATTTTAAGCATGGATCGGTGGATATCACACAGACAGAATGAAATGCAGACAGTGCCCACCTGTCCCTGGAAATAACTTCTCCATAAATGGTTTTTTTTTTGGCTGAAAGACTGTGAGAAGTTTTAGAGAGGTGCTGTCTGAACTGCACCACGAGCAGATGCCCTGAAATAACCGTAACTGTGAACCCTGGGTCAACATTTAATGTTGCTGGATATTTATTTCACTCTATTAACTTTATATCCTACAGAGGCACTTAATGAGAGGAAAACAAATAGGTTACACTTTGGAGAAACAAGATATCGGAGTTGGCTGGGAGTGAAGTACCCAGAATACATATAATAAAGACACCGGGATAAACTATTCCATTTTATTGATAAGCAACTGCGCTAGGAGTGTAAATTGGTTCCTTGTAACTATTATAGTGCATCATTGATTACAGCAGGCACGACGCTCCTGCGTGGGTGAAAAGCTTTTGGAGACCCTGGCACGCTTGTGCGCTGCTAGTTAAAGAACTGAGCCACGTGATAAGTAGTTGCTGTGAAAGTAGTAATTACTCCCTAAAAGCACCCAACTCATAATCTACCCTAACAAACGTCCTTCTGAGCCTTTATCTTAACGCAATATAGAGGCAACGCTTTTTGCTGGAGAGGCTGGTTGCGCCGGGGAGTTGTATAACTACAGAGCAGCGAGAGCGCGCGTCTGCCCGCGCCGGGGCAGGCTGGATGCGATCCATCCTGCGCTCCGCGGTCTCCTGGTGCAGGAATACGGAGAGCGGTTGAAACCAGCCTGTATCGGACACTCTGTCCCAGCAGCACTTCTCACGAGAGCAGGAAAAGCACTTTTTAGAAAGGAACTGCGAAAGGGATAGCTTTTACACGGAGACACGTACCGCATCACGCTGCGTTTCTGTATGTGCTTGGGACAAGATACGCTGCGGGCACCGTACCAGCGCAGCGAAACCCTCTCCCACGCCAAAACCACCGACAATTCAATCTTGCCATTATTACTGCACTCCCACTAAGGGCTGCTTCTTGCTCAGCCCTGCCAACCAGAAATCCTACTTCTTTCCCACACAAATCCCTGATGTGGCTGAGCCAGCACAAACCTGGGAGGATGCGCACTTACACACACATCCCTCCTACATCCAGGTGTGCGGGGTAACTGCTCCGAGCAGCTCTGCTGAACTCCATGAAAATAACAACAACAACAACAAAATCAATGCCGGCAGACCTGAGGGGAAGGTTGTAACTTGGATAACCTCCTGCAAAAGTTCAGGCTGCTCGGAGGAACCGAGCTCTGCAAGCCAGCGCAGCCACGGGCGCCGCTCCACTTCGGTAATGCTGCGAGCAGAGCTCAGCTTGCGGGTTAGGCTGGTGCAAACATAACCCTGCTCTGCTCCTTCACCAGATTGAAGCTGGGTGTGACGGGGATCCTAGAGCAGCAGGTACGCACCTGGTAGCGGTCCCTAAAGAGGATTTACACGTTAAAATGTTCTCCCAGAGGGGAAGCGGGGCAGGGCAGACACCGGGCAGCGTATCTTACCGGGCACGTCGTCACAGCAGAGCCGATGGGAAGTAGATTTACCCCGTGTATTCTGATGGCACCATGAACATCTGCAGAACATCTGCTCTCCTAGATCCAGCTGTGCAGGGGCAGGGTGAGGCGGTGGCCTCACTGACCCACGTCCCCAGCAGCCGCAGAGCCACAGGGAAACGCTCCATCACTCCCCCGGGCAGGAGCAGCCCAAATGGGTGCTCAGCTCCAGGCTGACCCAGCCGCTCTCCCTCACCCCACGCAGGCTGCTGCTGTGCCACCACCCTCCACCTCGTTAGCCAGTGCTGCCTCGCCGTTTCCCACTAATTTCCTGTCTGCCGCTCTCTATCCCGGGGGTTTTTTTCCTCTTAGAGTGCACAGTTTTGGGGACAGATACTGTTTTCAGTATTTGGGGGTTGCAGACCACAGTTGGGATGCCCTGGCTTGATGGTGACAAAAATAACAATGATGGGAGCTATCGATTTTAGCAAAGTTATTCCTCCTGTAAGAAAGAGAAGGAGCAGGTTGGATCTCTCTAAGATAGCACTTACACTTGGTAAAAGAAAAGATGGAAATTAAAGAAATTTTTACCATGGAAGGAGGTACTACATGGAATTAAGGTTTAGACCAATGCCATATGTATTATGTCCGTAATCCACGTTCATTCTTCATTTTGTGATACAGTAATGTTTAATTGCCATTAATGTAAACATATTTTAAAAGGTTATTTTCCTGCTCTGCAGGTCAATGGACCTAATGAAGCAGCTCTAAGTGGGTTTGAATTGCTTTGATTAGGTGCGTGATTTCCTGTTTACCTCATGGAAGTGGGTTTGGTCCTGCCCAGCTAACGTCTATAAAAGCTCTGCAGGGTCTCCTCGGAGCACCAGAACGGGCTGAAATCCTCTGGGCAGCTTCAGAGAAGGTAAGAATTTCTCTACTGGTCTTTCTTTTTAACCTTTTTTTAAATATAGATATACTTTTTTTTTTCCTACGATAACAGTGGGAGCAACCGGTGATTGCGAGCGTCAGGCAGCAGCCGTGGCAGAGCAGGAACAGCCCCTAGTTTTGGCTGAGTTTTCCCCAAAGTGGTACAAACCGGCCGTTTGCTCGGCAGCTTTGGCAGGAAGACCTGTGGCAGCGTACGTGTGGGGCGGGAACGGGGACGGCCGTTATCTCGGAGGAGGGTTCCGCACACGGCAAGTGTCAGGTTGGGATCTGCGCCTTTGAACACGTGCTGCACAGGGAAAGGAGGAGAAATCGGCTCTTAGTTGCTTTCTGGGACCTCCCAGCTATGGATAAAACGGGAATAACGCTTCTCCCAAAGCAGACAGTATTGCCCAGGGGACTGGAAGACAGAGATCCCACCAGCTGCTCCTCCTTTTCTGAAGGAGTCAAATCGTTGGATCAAACCAGCGCAGGAATCGCAGCAAACTCCGTGCCAGCCAGGGCTGGCAGAGCTTGGCTGCTCCAGTTCAGTGTCGCACAGGCAAAGGGGGCTTCTATTAACTCCAAAATGGTTTTTGCAAGAGTCTCTGAAAATGTGGGCTGCTTTTCCTCCCTGTTTGGGTAAATTCTGCAGAGGAGGAGTACTGCTCTTCCTTAAAATTAAGGCTACAATGCACTTCCTCTCCTAGCGTCATAACTAATTACCTGAAGCTGAACAATATTCTTGCACAACTTATTTTCAGATCCACCATCGTACCCACAGTTATATCACCAATATATGAAATGAAAAACAAAAAAGAAGGAAAACCTCAGTTATTTAATCGCTTTTTCCTGTTCTCATTTAAAATATTCCTCAGCTTTTTCTATAATGGAACTTAACTCTGTATCCATTTGTCTTTTATTACTTTAGCTCAAAGTGGTTTAGGGATTTTGCCAGTGTTCAGAGTATCACACCTTTGCTTTTAAGAGCATTCCTCAGGACTTGATGTATCTGAGATAATGATGTAACACATTTAGTAGTTTTCTCACTTAATAGGAAGGGCTGAAAACATTTGTAAAAGATGTCACAATTTTCCAGAAACAAAAAAATGCCTCAACTACAAACAACTCTCCACAACAATACTTGGGCTGTTGTAAGAGTACAAATAACTACTTAGAGGAGTAAAGTCCAATCAATGTATGAATACATTTTTGAGGGATGGGATACTTGAGTCCTGATCTAGACCTTTTTGTTACTGTATTATTCCTGGTAGCAGCAGCTCT